CAAGTTCGTTCTTCTAACCGTGCAGAAGTATCACAATAGAGAATAGTTATTTTTAATTTGCCAAAATTTAGATAATATTTCATTAAGATCCTCTATTGTAGTTAGATGACAAGTGCCTTTCTCATTGCTTCAATTGCTACTAAAAGTCTGCCCAGAAATAATCCAGCCGAGCTTGACTTTTTGAATAGTAGAATGTGCCTTGCATGGTTTGATCTGGCCAATACAGATTAATTGCCAGAAAATTTCGGCACCAATTAAAATATCAATGTCATCTGGAACATGAAAGTTTGGATCTGCTAATTGTATGTTGGATGAAATATTTAATTGTGATGTATCTATGAATTCTTGTGGTAATTGTCGTGTGATTTTTTTGTAAAATTACGCAGTAATCTAATCGTTTGCAGTAATTATTGTATCTAGATTGTAGAAGGATGTTCATGGTCTCTTTCGCGTTGATACTTCCTTGTGCGATTTCAGAGAGCAATGTTTGAATGTTGTTGCTTAAACGTAATTTTTTAGTCAAATCTTCAAATGATAAAGTTTAGTTGTAATCTATTATCCAACAATACCGACACGCGTGAATTTTACCTTGAGAGTCGAATACATGTACTATAGCGGTCGACAGTATTTTTGATGAATCTTGATGAATCTTGATTGTATAACTAGTGGTGCTTGTGAATTTTCAGCATTCAACGAAAGTTTGAAGAATCGTCATGTTGATCAGTTATGGTTTTGAAATATAAGAGAATGTTATGTGCCTTATTGCATTTGCGGCACAAACCAGATGTGCAGTTCCTAGCTTGATTGCTTGTTTTTAAACAGTTGATGCATAGTCACGCGTTTTTTACAATTTTGAATCGTTTATCGAAAACTCCTTGAATCGTTTACTGGAAGCTCCTTAAAAGCGTCACATTGGTACAGAAAATGATGCTCCTTACAACATTCGCAACTTAAGTTAATGCATGACCGAATGCTCTTTTTGATTTTTGATTTACTGGTATCCGCAGATGAACCTGCCAGTGAATTTAATTGCGATTGCTTCCAAAGCTGAGCATCATTGCAGCAAGAACTCTTTGAATTGTTTGAAGATCGGTATCAAATTGTCCGTGCTATTCTCTTTTAGTTACTAAATCAAGCTTGGATGAAATTAAATGTATGACGAGATCATTCTATGCATCTACAGGTCTTCCTATCGCCTTGAAAGACCGTAAGTGTTTGAGTGCGAGTTTCCGAGTAAAGTGCGTAGTTGCACATGATTTTCTCTTGCAATGCATGACCTACTAATGCACGTGATCTTGGACGATCTGTCGGCGATTGTCATAACGCTCAATTAACGATTCCTATGCTTCAACATAGTTTTCAGTGATTATGTCAATCGACTTTATAATGTCTGCTACCTCACCCTTCAATGATGAGCGCAAATAATGAAACTTTTGCTGCTAAGCTGTGATTTGAATGAGTGAGTTTTTCGAATGTGTCATGAAAAGTGTACCAGTCCTCATGAGCGCCTGAAAAACTTGGCAATTCAATTTTGGGTAAATGAATCTATGAATCAATAGTAACATTGTGTGATTGTATGCTGGAACTCTGAGAGTTAACATCGGTCTGAGTTTTGCGAAGCTCAATTTCATTAATAATAATTTTATCGAATTTTGACTTAAGCGAAAAGTAAGAATTTTCAAAGTTACTTCTTTCCATAATATGTAGATTTTCAATTTGTTGATTTTCATCGTCGTCGACAACACTCAACATTTCAATTCGCGTTTGAAATTCATCGAATTGGTCCCATAACATACTTAACCTTTTCATTCTTTCCATCACATTGAAGCGTGATAGTTGTGCATCTTCTGTTGATTCTACGAAGCCTTTCAAACGTATGACCGTAGCCTTAATAACCTTGCGCTTACTTTTCGCTTCCGTCAATGTGAGATTAAACATTTTGATGCTTACGAATTAATTATGGCTGAATTATTTGTTTTACAAAAAATAACAACGCAATAGTCCTATATATCCTAATTTATTATATTATGATCAGTTGTTGCATTCACGAACATCGAATGCCAATTGAGGTGTTTGTTTCGAGTGTTAATCGGAAGATGTTTATGTCCTAGTGGATGTCTCTATTTCAAGATGAATTAGGTTGGTAGTCTTGTTGAAATGACAAAGGCGTCTCGCGGCAACTACTGCTATACTATGCGGACGATGTCCAAGATGGCGTTAGAATTTTCTAGATCTTGATCGCTCGATCAATACCATGATTATGTATATGCTAGATTCATGATAGTCCCTCGTTATGACTTAGTGTAAGCATACTTGGATGATGATTGATGGATAGGCTTCTGTAGGCTGCAAACTGTTATGTCTCTATGCCCTTGTCGTTTTTTAAAGATGCTTTGCTGTAAGAATAGCAATCCGATCATGTAGAATGACAAACACTTATTGTACGTCTTGCGAGACGTCTCGCTTGTGTTTTACGAACACTGGTTTTATCGATAAATTAAAAGAATAAGAAATCTTGACTAATATTCTAGTAGCCTTTATTGAATACAAGAAGTAAGTCGATATCTTTACGGTATGGCCGTTAGTGAGAGACTAACTTTCTCCTCCGGAAGTGTTGTGATGTTCACAAAAAAAAAAAGAAAAACATGGACGATTACACAGACGTTCGTCGCGCGAGATTCAAAAGGTATGACCGGCGCTTACAACTGTCTTGACGAAAATGTTCATTAAAATGTTCTTTCTAGATTGAATTTATTTGATATTCGGCTATTTTCATAATATTTTCGTTGGATTCTCCAATAGAAACACTGCAGAAGTATAATTTTATAAAACGTTTTATTAGGTGTTGGAATTAATTCGTAGCGTTTTACAAGTGATGGGAAGTACTTTCATTAATGTATTTTTTAATGCTCATATGAAATAAATAACATTCTTTCATTAAAAAACGCTACGAATTAATTCCAACACCTAATATTATCTTTGATTAAGCTATTATTATGGATTTCGACTTGAAGTGCGTTCCTTACTGAAAAAATTTCGCTAAAATTATTCCATGTTTGGAACATTTCAGCAAAATTGTTAATTGAAAATTTACTGAAATTTCACTGAAAGAGAATTTTTCAATTGACATATTAAAAAATCGTTGAACTGGAATTTTTTTTAACTTCTATAGAAACATTTCGGAAATTTTTTGAAAAATTTTTTCTGAAATTTTATTAAAATTTTGCTAAAAATGAATTTTTTAGCAAAAAAATCGCTGAAATTAAACTGAATTTTTTCTGAAATGCTCTTCCAAAACGGGGACTTTCAACGAAATTTTTCTATCAGAGTTGAAGCGAATTTTAAAAATTGTATTGTCCGTTTTGTCCGTATTTTTCCTGGAATACTACTGATATTAATTAATAAGATTCATCTCAAATTTTGATAAAAATACATTGAATCAATGCATAAAAATAAAGATTTGACAAAGAAAATGTCGCGCTGTTTCGTAAATCGAAATATATTATTAAAGTTGACAACTATTCAGGTTAGGAAATCTGTCACAACATCAGTTCATTGCTTTAAAAATTCACTGTTTTAGCAGAAAATTTGATAATTATATAATTTAGCTTGCGTAGCTCAAAAATCAATAAAATTGGGCTTATTCGACGCGTATGCATAAAAAGAAAGAATTTGGCAGAAATAAGGTCACTCGGACCTGTGACCCGAGATATTAAGCATTAAAGTTGACCATTGAAATTGAGAAATTTGTTACAGCAACACTAAATTCACTACTTTAAAAACAAATTTACTGCTTAAAAACAAATTCTCTGATCTAAAACATAAATTCACTGCTTTAAAAATAATATAAGAAAACAATTTATATTTTTAAAGCAGCGAATTTGTGTTTTTAAAGCAGATTTATTTTAAAGCAGAGAAACTTAAGTTATTTAAAATTTGTTAGAAAGGAGTAATTTGCATCAAGCTGATTTACGATAGATGGCATGATTAAATATGAAATTAAATTCAGATAGATGGCACTATCAAATGATAGTCAACTTTAGAGACTGAATGTCGTTGTTACTCGTTCCTTTTCTTTTTTTTTAGCGGATCATGATGCTGGTCGGATGTGTGTGAGCTGTATACAATTGTAAGGTCTTATAACAACGATGTAATTTGTTAAAGATAAGTTTAATATTAACTAACTTGAAGTGTAATTCTATCATTATTAAATTTAATAATCTATGTATAGATATAAATTAATGATAAATTTTAATAGTTCGTTTTATATTTCAAGTTTATGTGTAAACTCGGTTGATTATAGTATTGTAAATATTTATCTTTTTCTTGTATTGAACAAATAATAATATATAAAATTATTTTAATTAATTGATTCAGATATTAAGAATTTTAAGCACGTATATGCGAATACATCAAATACGATAAAGAAAGCCAAGATAGGTCAAATTTTGGATACACAAATAATACATTATATATTCTTTTATTACATCAATTTATTCCAGATATAATTGCGAATCGATAACATTCAGTTTCAACACAATTATTCTGAAACGCTAACAATCCCCCCGAAATTATATTAGAAAGAAAGAAAGAAAGTAAGAAATTTATTGCGAAAAATATTACCTTAGCCAGGATTCGGATCGAGCTTTTATTTTATTAACATTATTACTGGATTATTAGCGTTTCAGAATAATTATGTTGAAATCGAATGTTATCGGTTCGCAATTACGAGGTCTGTTCAAAAAGTATCGCGAATTTTGAATTTCCGCGGGTTACGTATATTCGATTTTCGATTTTTTTGTGGCGTTATGTTGGTACTCATGTCTCTCACTTATGCTGACAAGTTCGGCCATTTTGAATGTTCAGTTAATTTTTGATAGCTGCTTTGCTTGCACGTGTTTTGGCTCGTCTTCGATTTTTGCCTATTCCAAAAAATGGATCAAAGAATCTGTATCAAATTTTGTGTGAAAAACAAAATTAAGTGCGCGGACGCATTCCGAATGTTGACTGTGGCATATGGTGAAGCTACCTTGGACCGAAGCAACGTTTATCGGTGGTACAAAATGTTCTCAGAGGGCCGAGAAGATGTGAACGACGAAGAGCGTGCCGGACGCCCGAGCACGTCAACAACAGACGAAAACATTGATGAAGTGAAGAAAATAGTATTGGCCAATCATCGAATCACCCTTAGAGAAGTTGTTGAGGACCTAAACATATCGATTGGCTCATGCCATTCGATTTTTACCAATGATTTGGGCATGAGATGGGTCGCCGCGAAATTCGTATCAAAATTGCTCAATTTCGATCAAAAACAGCATCGCATTAACATTGCTAACGAGCTGTTGGACTCCGCGACGACCCAAATGTGCTCCAGAGGGTCATAACTGGTGACGAATTATGGGTTTATGATTATGACGTGGAAACCAAAGCTCAATCATCCCAATGGAAGCTGGCGCACGCGCCAAGACCAAAAAACAAGTTCGGTCGAATGTGAAGGTTTTGCTTACAGTTTTCTTCGATTGCAAGGGCGTGGTGCATCATGAGTTCTTGCCACAGGGTAGAACAGTCAATAAGGAATATTACCTGCAAGTTATGTGCAATTTGCGCGAAGCAATCCGCCAGAAACGCCCGGATTTGTGGAAGAACAAAAATTGGCTTTTGCACCATGATAACGCCCCTGCTCACATATCGTTGCTTGTGCGCGAATTTTTGGTCAAAAACAACACACTAATGATGCCGCAGCCACCGTATTCCCCAGATCTGGCCCCCTGTGACTTTTTCTTGTTCCCGAAACTGAAGAGGCCCATGAAAGGACGACGCTACGCTACGATTGAGGAGATAAAGACGGCATCGAAGGAGGAGCTGAACAAGATCACAAAAAATGATTTTTTGAAGTGCTTCGAGAATTGGAAAAAACTTTGGCACAAGTGTATAATATCTGATGGGGATTACTTTGAAGGGGACAAAATAGATATTCATGAATAAATAAATAATTTTTGAAAAAACACAAAATTCGCGATAGTTTTTGAACAGACCTCGTATATCTGAAATAAATTGATTTAATAAAAGAATATATAATATATTATTTGTAACATCCAAAATTTGATCGATCTTGGCTTTCTTTATTGATTCAGATAATTATAAAATTAAGTAAATCTTTAATAATTAGTTTCAACAAAATTAATACCTTTTTAATTTTCTTTATATGGAGTTAAAGTTTAAATCCAGCATTTCTTTAAAATATATTAGGTGTACCAATAAGTTTTAAAGCGTTTTTTGTGTACCGTATAATTTAAACTTAGAATTCAAATATTTTCGCGCTCTTTTGATATGTTGTGGCGCTTAATGTGTACTATTAAAAAACATAATTAAACAAAACTTCACAAAATTGGAAACTTAATCTCAAAATTAAATGGTTTTAAAATGGCGAACGACAAGCAATTTATTCGACACTGCATTCGATACAAATTTCATTAAGGAAAAAGCGCTGCTAAAGCATGTGAATCAATTTGTTCTGTTCTTAGAGTCAATGTTGTATCCAAAAGTACGTGTGAGTTTTGGTTTAGGCGATTTAAAGAGGATGATTTTGATGTTAGCGATAGAGAACGTAGTGGTGCTCTTCAGAAGAAAGTTACAAACAATGAATTGCAAGCATTACTCGATCAAAACTCATGTCAAACACAAAACAAACTTGCACAGCAACTTGGAGTAACTCAACAAGATATTTCAATTCGTTTACAGATGAGAAAGATTCTGAAGGAAAGAAAGTGGGTACATTGCCGCATGCATTAAGTGAAAAAAACAAAAATAATCGTCTTGAGAAGTGTTTGAATCTGTACAATAAACAGGATAGAAAATCTTTCTTGTGGAAAATCGTGACTGGTGATGAAAAGTGGATTTTTTACGATAATCCTAAAAAGAGAAAACATTATGTGGATCCAAGACAACCCACTACATCAACGCCAAAACGCAACATCCACAGCAGCAAAGTTATGCTATGCATCTGGTGAGACATGAAGGGTGTGCTATATTATGAACTGCTCCATCCGAATGAAACGGTTAACAGTGATCGCTGCAGTCAACAATTGATCCATTTAAATCAAGAAATCGAACGAAATTGTCTATTTACTGGCAAAGGAAAACGTCCTGTGAAATTGCTTCATGACAACGCTAGGCCTCATGTTGGTAAACCTATAAAGGAAACGTTGCTAGCTCTTGGGAAGTACGCCGCATCCGGCGTATAGCCCAGACATAGCCCCTTCTGATTATCATTTATTCCGGTCAATGCAAAACGCCTTGTCCGGTGTACACTTTCGAGCATTTGAAGAAATGCGAAAATGGGTGGATAATTTTATCGCATCGAAAGACGAAACCTTCTTCGCTTCTGGAATTCGCAAGCTGCTCGAAAGATGGCTAAAGGTCATAGATAATGATGGAGATTATTTTGATAATTAAGTGTATTTTCGTTTCTAAATAAATAAATATTAAATTTGATTAAAAACTTATTTGAACACCTAATAGATGCTGTAACTATAAACGCGACTTTTCCGTTGTCCAAATTTCTATAAATTTTGGAAAAAGTTACAAATGTTTCATAATGTATTATTAAATTTGTTAATGTCGACAGAAGAGACCCATGGAGACCTCTAGTCGAAGATAAATTTTTTTATACCGAAATTACGGCTAAAAATACTGGTTGGATCGGATGATAAAATTTGTTCCGATATCTCACTCGATGTGAGATATCAGAACTACTATAATGCAGTTAAGGTGTATGTATATGACATTAATAAAAATTTTCAAGAATCAATTTGCAAAATCTGGCTCTGTAGGAACCTTCCCAGCAATATAACAAAGAAATCCCAACAGATAAAGAAATATTATTTCTATTTAAGAAGAAAAATGAGCATAACTGACCTAGATCTGCACTTAAAAATGCATATCTTTATGCTGAAATTATGGCTAAAATATAACATGAATCGCGTTTTAATTGTGATAATCAGAAAAGATGTTGAAGGTTCGTACAGAGCTTTTTTTTTTTGTAAAAAAGGCATAATAAAAATTTGTTTTGATATCTCACCCATAGTGCAATTAAGATGTACATAATTTTATTTAAAAAATTTTCAAGAATCAATTTGCAAAATTCGGCTCTGTATGAGCCTTTCTAATAATATAAAAAAGAAATCCCAACAGGTTTTATAAAGAAATAATATTTCTTTGAGAAGAAAAATGAGCATAACCTAAGTCACCAGAACTGTACGTTCTGCTACGGCTGATTGTTAATCATAGGGAAATTCTTCACATAAGTTGAACAAAGAAAAGTAATAAGTTTCCTTGTCTTTTTTTATGGCATTGACAATTCTCGCCTTCGACATGGCTGAAAACTATACAGCATGAGATAACATGTTGAAAAAAACAGTAATTACACAGATTAAGAAACACCGCGCCGATGACCTTGACCTTCACATATGTTGTCAAGGTCATAATTCTGAGTGACTTTCAGAAGATTTTAGTTGGTGGTTACTGTTTATTAAAAAGTTATGAACAAAAAACTTTGAAAAATATGCGTATTTCAGTAACTACTTTTTAAAAAATTATGGGCAATAGGAGTTTAATATAATTTGCATCTACTTAAACCAATCTTGAAATGAGAAGGAATAATGAATATTAACTGAAATATTAACATCGATGTAGCACTTATGCTTTACTTACAAGTCAAATCCGATTGGATAAATATGTAGTATAACGGATTACCGATGACCTTGGTCTTGACATATATCGTCAAGATCATGACTCTGAAAGACCTTCAACAGGTTTTAAGTAGCTTTCATCTTTTACTCTAACCCCCCCTTTCTCCTGCAAAGGAGCGCATGACTTTCACCTCCGACTCTCTTACCTCTTTGTAGGAGGGAGGGGGAGGGAGTAAGAGTCGAAGGTGAGAGTCGTGCGCCCCTTTGCAGGAGAAGAGGGGAATGAAAGTCGTTTCGTATTGAAAGTCAAAACCTATATAGAATAGTTTAGTATTGCATATATAGCAGAAATAATACAAAAATAATGTTTATCTTTCGAACTTTTTTTCTTCACTTTCAACTTTCTTTCTAACTTTTTAATAAACAGTGATCATCAACTAAAACCTTCTGAAAATCATTCAGAATTATGATCTTGACAACATACAATATATCAAGGTCAAGGTCATCGGCGCAGTGTCCCCTGTATAATTACCAAAAAATACTCTCTTTCGATCTGTTACGCTTGATAGAAACGACTGAAGACCGAAAATGCTTTCTTAGCGATCTTGGCCGCTCGGTGTATATCAATATAAGGGCATTCGAGATAACATATAAGTTTTAATAAATTTTAGTAATCATATATCTTTCTCTAATTTTATTAATTGTATAATAGCAAAAATGATTTCAAAACGCAATAGTTTATGAGATATTAATTATTTACGATTTTTTATGGGAATTACCCAGATAACATTTATGTTGCATAAGATATCTAAAAGACGTCTTTTAGACATCTTTTAGACATCTTTAAGACGTCTAAAAGACGTCTTTTAGATATCTTATGCAATATAAATGTTACCTGGGTATATACTGTGTTTAACATAAACACAGTCTATAAGAATTTCATGTGTTTGTGTGCGTAAGGTATATAAGGTACATCAGTATGCTGCAGATCCCACGTTCTAATCCTACATTTTTTTTGCTTTTTTCACATATTTTTTTCTGAAATAAATTATTAATAACCATATTAGGGCGAGCATATTTTTATATAATTATTGAATTTATTCGTGTACTTTTATAAGTTTTAAACCAACCAAAATATAATCAAACGTTACAAAGAATATAGATAAAATTACTAAAACCATATCAGAGGTTGAATACAATAAATTAATTTATTAAATCTTTATATCAGTGTGTAGTTCAAATCGGACCTACACTTTGTTGAAAAGCGAGAAAAATTGGAATTATGAGTTAAAATATTTATAATTACGTTATATGAAGTTAGATGATGAAATCAACTATTTTATTTTATCTCTTTCCTGGCTATTCTTGTTTTACATCTACTAAACAGAAGATGGAATAACAGAAATAATGATAATGTCTTTCCGAACGCATTCGTCAATTTCAATTTTTATTTAAAAGTTGTTTTATTTGTGAAAATAATTTCAGTATCAGGAAAGTGGTTTTTTATCTCAACACATAAATAAAAGCATGTAGCGAGATAAAAAGCTAATATTTTACAATGAAAGTACAGTATAAACTAAATTAAACATTGAATTAATTAATCAACATTTGGGTATGTAATATATGAACAAGTTATTGTTAAATTAGTAAATTATTAAAATAGATTTTAATTAAAAATATTTTTTGCACTAATG